ATGCAGGCCGAACATGAAAATAGTCTCCTACGCCTATTTCCTGTAATAGCTTCTGACAGATAATAGATGGTGAAACAGTGGGATTTGAAAAGCCTGACAGATCTACTCCACATTCAGGGGCGGTCCTAGCTCGTCTGGTGCCCTGGGCGAACACCCTCACTTATGCCCATGACAACTCCACCACACAGCAGAACACCTCTAGGCATGAGTTATTTGTGCAGATAGAACGCCCCTGTCGCAGCGCAAACAGAGTCAGTGGTGGAGTTGCACAGGGCTGCCAACTTTAGAACTTTTCCGTGGAGGAGGAGGCTGTTTGGCCTCCGTCTGTGAGAGTTTGGGTGGGGGATTTTTCAGCATGATATATTGGAGGTGTGGCGTGAGAGCGAATGAAGAGGGTCAGATGCGTGTCTCCGTACTTGAGAGTTGGCAACCCTGATTGCGTTATCCAATCGGAGGCAAGATGTCCAAATGCTGCAACTAGAACTCCAAATCCTGCCGTGATAACCTCTCCTTTGATGTGGCGTTCTGCTCCTTCCTGACGCAAGTTTATCTGGAGTCTGTTACAAAATGTTGGCATAAAGTCCAAATGACTATTATAGTGACTTGCAAATGCATCAACAGTCACCCATCAGGTATTTTAGATATAAGTTGGTGTTTATTCTGCAAAGTTTACATTAGATTCTCAGTATTTCATATCACGATTTAATATGTTTCTTTTCTAAGTTCTTTTTCCTGTCCATTTTTCTGTTAACTCAGCTGTTTTCAAACTTTGTGTGGTGTTTACTGCTATGTCTCCAGTCCAAGGGCAAGTTTTGGGTGGTAAACAAGGGAGAGGCTCCCTCAACATACAATTAAGAAAGTAATTGCTGCAGGCAGCTTACTACATTTGGCAAATGCCTTTAAAAGAAGCAAGGTAGATGTAATTCGGTTTATTTCTGGCTTCTTAAATGAGTATAAAATGATAGGATGCAGCCAAATGCATTTAAAAATAGACTTGATGTTTATGTCGTTGAAACACTATTTATTCTATCCTCTAGATATTTGAGACAAATATTGTTAATGCTCACTCTTTTCTTGCAGGAATGTTCACCCTGACTGAAGTAGCTTCTCTAAATGACATCCAGCCAACTTACAGAATTCTGAAACCATGGTGGGATGTCTTCATGGACTATCTGGGTATTGCCATGCTTATGTTGGCCATCTTTTCTGGAACCATGCAGTTGACTAAAGACCAGGTGGTTTGTCTTCCCATCTTGGAGCAGACACCAGAGAAGTCTGGAGGCTTCTTGGGAAGCGAACCACCAGATCCAAGTGATGGTTTCTGGAACAAAGAGAACGCAATTGGAGAGCAAGCTGCTCCCCTCATGGCTAAAAGACCTCCTGATAGCATCAGTCCTGTAGGGCACCTCACACAGTTTCCTGCCTTTATACACCCCCAGCCATCAGGTGTCAGAACCAAGCTAGATTTTCAGCAGTACATTTTTGTCAACCAGATGTGTTATCATGTTGCCCTTCCATGGTATTCCAAATATTTTCCATATCTTGCTCTAATTCACACGATTGTGTTGATGGTCAGTAGCAACTTCTGGTTCAAATACCCAAAGACGAGTTCAAAGGTAGAACATTTTGTTTCCATACTAGGAAAATGTTTTGAGTCCCCCTGGACGACCAAAGCGCTCTCTGAGACTGCATGTGAGGACTCCGAGGAGAACAAGCAGAGGCTAGCTGGGGCTTCGTCTCTCCTAAAACATCTGTCCACGAGCAGTGAGGAGGGCAGTCCAAATCAGCTGACCCAAATGTTGACTAAACCTGGTGTTGCTTTTTCTGTTGAAAAGCTTGTGAGTGAAATTCCCTCCATGACCATACTGGACAAGAAAGACGGCGAGCAAGCTAAGGCCTTGTTTGAGAAAGTTAGGAAATTTCGTGCCCATGTAGAAGACAGTGACTTGATCTACAGGCTCTATGCTATTCAGACCGTCGTTAAAACAGTGAAATTTATTTTAATATTGTGCTACACGATGACATTTGTGGCATCTATCGACTTTGATCATGTTTGCGAACCCGAAATAAAACATTTAACTGGATATGGCAAATTCCAATGTACACATAACATGGCGTTTATGCTTAAGAAGCTTCTTGTCTGTTATATTGTGCTGATTTGTGTTTATGGCATTATTTGCATTTACACACTCTTCTGGCTTTTTCGGCGACCACTAAAGGAATATTCCTTTGAAAAAGTCAGAGAAGAGAGCAGTTTCAGTGACATTCCTGATGTTAAGAATGACTTTGCATTCCTCCTTCACATGGTTGACCAGTACGACCAGTTGTACTCAAAGCGCTTTGGGGTTTTTCTCTCTGAGGTGAGTGAGAACAAACTTCGAGAGATCAGCCTTAACCAGGAATGGACCTTTGAGAAGCTACGACAGCACGTGACCCGCAATCCTCAAGATAAGTTGGAACTTCATCTTTTTATGCTGTCTGGTGTGCCAGATGCTGTTTTTGATCTTGCTGATCTGGAAATCTTAAAATTGGAACTGATTCCTGAGGCTAAGATAACAACCAAGGTCTCACAAATGATCAACATTCACGAGTTGCACCTTTACCACTGTCCAGCTAAAGTAGAACAAAATGCTTTTATTTTTCTCTGCGACCACCTCCGGTGCCTTCATGTCAAATTCACAGATGTCGCTGAGATTCCTAGCTGGGTGTACCTATTGAAAAATCTACAGGAGTTGTATTTGATTGGTAACCTGAACTCTGAAAACAACAAACTGATCGGACTCGAGTCTCTGCGAGATCTCAGGCACTTGAAGATTTTGCACCTGAAAAGCAACCTGACGAAGATCCCGACTAACATAACAGATCTGTCTCCACATCTGATCAGACTTGTTATTCATAACGATGGCACAAAGCTGTTAGTGCTGAATACGCTGAAAAAAATGGTCAATCTTTCCGAGCTGGAGCTACATAACTGTGAGTTAGAGCGGATACCCCATGCCATTTTCAGTTTGAACAACCTTCAAGAACTTGACCTAAAGTCCAACAACATCCGCACCATAGAAGAAGTCATCAGCTTTCAACACCTCAAAAGACTGACTTGCCTCAAACTTTGGTACAATAAAATCATCAATATACCACTGTCAATCAGTCATGTCAGAAACCTGGAGTCACTCTATTTCTCACACAACAAGCTGGAGTCTTTGCCATCTTCGTTATTCACCCTTCTCAAGTTGAGGCACCTCGATGTTAGTCATAATTCCATAGTGATCATTCCTCCAGAGGTGGGATTTCTGCAGAATCTCCAACATTTTGTCATTACGGGCAACAAAGTAGAGGTAGTCCCAAAGCAACTGTGCAAATGCATCAGGCTAAAGACATTGTGTCTCGGCCAAAACCGCATCACCTTCATTCCAGAGAAAATCGGACAGCTTGTGCAACTCACATACCTGGAGTTGAAGGGAAACTGTCTTGATCGCCTCCCAGTTCAGCTTGGCCACTGTGGTCTCCTGCGTAGGAGCTGCCTTGTAGTAGAGGATCACCTCTTTGACTCACTCCCACTGGAAGTCAAGGAGAGCATGAATCAGGAAGCTAGCGTTCCCTTTGCAAATGGGTATAAATGTCTTGGCGAAGGGCGTTAGAAGCATTGCATGGTGTACATCGTTGTTTATCTCACGTAGAGCAAAAGTGAAAGGAATAGTTGTCTGGTTGAGTAGAATGCCCTATAGCTTAACCTAGCATGCAGCCTGCAAGTGTAGCAGTATAGAGAACATTTTTGGTCTAAACACTGACACATTAAATCTTATAGATGAAAAAATAAACTTTTACAAAATCAGATAACTGTTTGATTTTCCAAAAACACATTTTTTTGTCTACTTCATGCGATATTAGTCAAAACAAAGTTTGGCGATCAGAGGTGGAAGTTATCTGTTTTTTCCAAATGGATTATATACGGGAAGGTTTATACATGTTACGTATTTATAGTTAATATTTTTATCACTGTGGTTTTATCTGGGTTATATGTAACTCGTTTAAACATTGCACTGTGAATACATGTATTAGTTTGCCAATTTAGAAATACACTTTACTTTTTCCACTCATACACACACATCAAATATAAAACTACAGGGGAAAGGCTTGCCCCATCAATAAAGAATGCACCAACACTAGCTTTAGCTTATATCTTGCTTAAAAACACAGCTTGGTGGTTTGCAGTTTCTTAATGTATTCTTTCTATTATCCCCTAAAACCAAACAAAATGGTTTACTCTCCTTTATCTCAGACTTTCTCTTTCAAATGTTTTTCATTTTACACAGTTTCAAAATGTTATCCTGTAGTCTTATAAAAGTATGTTTTCACTAATACAAACATTGTGCATCTTCCTAAACCAAGTTTGTCATTGACCTCACCACTGTTGTAATATCCTTAACGCACTTTAAAGCCAACATCAACGTAAACCAAGTATACCAAATTATTATCCTGCTTTAAAATTTTTAAAATGTTTGCACAAAAATGTTATTTCTATGAGTTAACCCTTTAAAAGATTTCTAACTTGAAAACAAAAGCATTATGCTCACACTTTCACTTCAACTGCCGTAACATCAGTCAGCATCTGTCTCAAAAGCAACAGAACTGGACTTTTTATTTGTGATCAGTTTTTAACCTCAACCTTTTGTTACATACATTCTTATTAAATATGCTTTGTTTTGTTTGGTGTTTCCCATAAAATACATTTTTACTGTTTTCCGAGTTTTCAGTCACTCAGATTTGTTTTGTCTGCAGACAGATGATGTCATTTGCACCAGTATATTCTGGCTATATTTGCTTTTATGTGAATTTTTTTTTGTTTTTTTGTAAACAGTTTTATTGTTTTTAGTGCATTTTGTAATGGTTTTTTGTGTGCACCAATTTTAAGATGTGTCCTATAAATTAAATATTATTATTCTCTACTTTGTTATTATTGTGTAAAGAATTGAGCAGCAATGATAAAGGTCAGAAAAATGTTTGTGGTTTAACTCAATCTCTAAAATGAGTGAATGAGTTGAAAATGTAATGTTTAAAAAAACAATTTTCTAAAATTAATAAAATAAAAATGCATTTGATTTAATGTTTAAAAAAATGATTAAATAAAGTTAAATTAATTATCTTGACATAATTATCTGTCACTCAATTTTTACAATAAGCCATAAGAAAATAATAATAAAAATATTTTGTAATATTTTTTACTGATATACTTTACAGTGGTAAATAGAAAGATATACTGTTATCATCCAGTTTTCATATTCTTACCTTAATAAGGTTCATCAGACACTGAAACACAAAAGCTCACAAATAAATTATATAGTGAGAAGTTCAAGGGGAGCTTGAATCATTTTACAATGCAGAATGTATTTTATATTTTTCCTCCAGAATACATTTTCCTAAGATTTTATTATGTAATTGTGTTTATTCTATAAAGAAAAAAAAACATTTTTTAACAAAAAGAAGTCAAAAGAGAATCCATAGGGCTGGCTTAGTGAGAACACGCATATAAAAACTGCAGCCCGTCTTTAAAAGTTTGAATTGTTGATGTAAAATTGGCAGAGAATAAAAACTTATGTTTTCTGATTTTCTATCTTTTGTTAGTTTCAGGTTTTTGTGTGACCTCTCCATACGTTAGAGAAGTTCTGCAAGTTCTCAGACAGAGAAGTATCATCAGTTCTCCACATTTCAAGTGTTTCACACACGTGTCTAATGGGATTGCTGAGAACTCTAACGTATAATAAAACTTCATGTTGGAGTGTTTTAAACACCTTATTACATTTTCATCATAAAAAGTCAAGATGATGCTAAATGCGTCTCTCGTGCATACATAAACAACATCTTCAAAAGGAGAGGGAGATTTAGCATGCCAGTGTGTCTGTCCAAAGACACAAGCAAAAATAAACAAAAAATGTTTATTATGTTGTGGTGCCCTCTGGTGGGTTTACACCGATAATGCAAGGCACTCACTGGTCACTTTATTATTATTTACCAGTTTTTAAGGGACAGCACACAGGAATGAGTATCTTTTCAAACATCAGTTCATGTAAATATGCTGGATTATAGCAGGAATGCTATTTTCCATCCTAGTCCCCAGGCTTGTAACACAAAACCATTACAGTATGTAGAACTGGGCAGTGTTACAAAAGGAACACATCACGAGATCCGAGATAATCTGTTATTGCACAGGTGTGCAACAAATTGACCTCCTGCTCACTAAAGACAGCTTATGTAAGGAGGTAGTAAAATAAAATAACAAGTCTAAAATAGATGCCTCTCTCTCTCTCTCTCTCTCTCTGTCTCTGTCTCTGTCTCTGTCTCTCTCTCTCTCTCTCACACACACACACACACACACACACACACACACACACACACACACACACAACCAGTTAAAGGTGCAAAAATGTTAACGTATAATATAAACATGGTAATAAGACAAATCTAAACTACAAACTGAAATTTAAAGTAAACATAATATGAACGTAAACAGTCACATGTTGAGGTAGGATTAACTAGCTAATGTAACGGTGCTGTAGTGCACTATTTGTCCAGCAGGATCACTGTTAATGTGACCTCCGAGCAGCAACTTTCAGTTCAGTAATGGCTCTTGCATAAAAGCTGTTAAACAGCCTGGTGGTGTGTTTCCGTTGCCCTGTATCGTTTACCAGATGGAAGAAGTTTGAAGAGATGGTTAGCAGGGTGGGTTGAGTCCTTTAGGATGTTTGTGGTTTTTTGAAGGCAGTGAGTGGTGAAGATATCATCCTGGGCAGGCAGGTGTATGTTTGTTATTTTCTCAGCAGTTTGATTACTCTCTGCGGGGCCTTCCTGTCAGCTGCTGCTGTACCACACCAGGATGCTGTTGGTCAGCACACTCTCTATGGAGCAGTGATAAAGCCACACCAGCAGTTTCTGTGGCAGGTTGATCTTCCCGAGAGCCTTCAGGAAGTATAGCTGTTGTTGTGCCTTCTTTATCAGACATTTGGTGTTGCGTGTCCATGTGAGGTCCTCTGACATGTGTAGCGATAAATATAGATTTATATCTATATTTCAAATGTGGCATAGATTTAGCTTATTTATAATCTTATATAACTAATCGGGGCACCACCAGTTTCCGGAACTGGGCCGTTGGATTTAATATCTATATCTTCGCAATGTTATCAGTCTCAGAGTTAACACCACAAATTAATCTAAAGGGTGAATTCTTGACAGAATGCGCCAATTATTCCCGAGAATTGCTAGACAATGATCAGGTAATATTTGCACCGACTCAGTGGCCTAGTGCTAGAGTGTCCGCCCTGAGATCGGGAGATCAGGGGTTCGACTCCTGGTCGGGTCATACCAAAGACTTTGAAAAAATGGGACCCAATGCCTCCCTGCTTGACACTCAGCATTAAGGGGTTGGATTGGGGGGTTAAACCACCAAATAGTTCCTGAGCGCGGCTGTGTCTGCAGCTCACTGCTCCCCCAGGGGATGGGTCAAATGCGGAGAATAAATTTCACCACACAATGTGTGTGTGTGACGACTAAATGGGACTTTAATCTTAATCTTTAATTTACGTTTTGTGAGTTTATTTTAAACATCAGTTGTGACAAATGACAAAAAGAACCGAACACAGCTTATTGTTTCATGCATGAGAATAAGTAAGTGAATAAACCCAAAGCTTTATGGCAGTTCTATGACATAACTAGTCTGTAATAAAAATGGAAATTTGGTGACACATAGGATTATAGTAAATATTAGGAGTAATTTCTGAAAGGAAGGTGTGTGTGTGTGTGTGTGTGTGTGTGTGTGTGTGTGTGTGTGTGCTTGTGTGTGTGTTAGTGTGGCTCGTTATGGCAGAAGGAAGAGGATCATGAGAGCTAAACGTGAATGTGGGATCGAAATAAAACAAGCCATACTCTGAATTCACAAATCGGCTTATGGCAGAAAACCAGCCAGATAGAAATGAAGAAGAAGAAGAAGAAGAAAGTATCATTTCTATAGCACCTCTCAAGATAAAAATCACGAGGCGCCTCACAAAAACAAACAAAAAAAAAGTAAAAATATAAAAAGAATTTAGAAAATGTTTAAAAATAAATTTAAAATGAGCAAAAATAGACAATTGTGATAAAAAAAATGTTAAGAAAGAGAGAGAGTGAATAGGAAAGAGGGAAATCAGTGGATCCTGAGGAAGGTGGAATAGGTGGGGAGAGCAGAATAAAGAGAGAGAGGTGAAGAAGGTCATCCAAAAGCCAGCTTGAACAAGTGAGTCTTCAGCTGCTTTTTAAAGGAGACCACTGAGTCCACTGATCTCAGGCTCAGGGGGAGAGAGGTCCAGAGTCTGGGGGCCACAGCAGCAAATGATCTGTCACCTTTGACCTTTAGCCTGGTGCTGCACAACCAGTAGGCTTTGATCACTGGACCTCAGGGACCTGCTGGGGGTGTAGGGACTAAGAAGATCACCAATGTAAGATGGTGCTTGTCCATGTAAGGCCCTATAGACCAGAACCAGGATCTTGATATGAACCCTGAAGTTGACTGGCAGCCAATGAGCTATGACTCTTATGAAACTCAAGGTGTAGGGATGGTGTTGCTGCAGAGTCTTTAGGCTCCATTCAGTCCTGCTATACTGAAGCACAGAGAGAAACTCAGGATAACATGATGAATGCTCCTGTGTAGACTTGTTTAGAAAACTGCCACATGAAACAAGGTTGGCCTTTGAGCTTCTTACATCTGTTTAATAACTTCTGCTAAAGAAGTTCAACAAAGAATCAGTTATGAGTCACTTATGTGACATCAGTGAGTCAGTTGAAGTTGACTGGCAGCCAATGAAGCTGGAGGAGAAGCGGGGTGATGTGGGTGTGTTTGGAGGACTTGGTCAGAAGCCGAGCACGGGCTTTCTGAACCACCTGTAGACGGTTCAGGGAGGTTCTGCTCAGACACGTGAAAAGAGAGTTACAGTAGTCTTAAGTGTGAGGAGATGAAGGTGTGGAGAATTGTCTCAAGTTCAGAGCGGGACAGAATGGGAATCAGCTTAGCAACGTTCCTGAGATGGAAGAAGGAAGAGCGAACAAGAGAACTGACATGAGAATCCAGGGTGAGAGCTGGGTCAAAGGTCACGCCAAGATTCCTGACAGAAGGTTTGGTGTGAGAAGCAAGCTGACCAAGAGAGTCTCTGACTTTGGGAACCAGCTTGTCTGGGTCTCATTCTTATCTTCAATCAGCTGTAGAAAGCTCCCAGCCATCCAGGCTTTGATAGAGTCTAAGCAGGTGTGTAACAGCTGCAGCTTGGACATCTCATGGGGCTTAAAGGAGATGTACAGTTGGATGTCGTCTGCATAAAGATGGTATGAGATTCCTTTGATGGAGCTCAGGATGTGCTGAAGAGGAAGCAGATAGAGGAGGAAGAGCAGAGACCCCAGCACAGAACCTTGTGGGACACCATGGGTAAGAGAGGTGGTGGAGGACCTAAACTTGGAGACGGCCACAGAAAAGGAGCGCTCAGAGAGATAAGAGGAGAACCACTCCAGAGCAGATCCTGATAGGCCTACCCAGTCTCTCAGCCTCTCCAGTAGCAGGTGATGGTCAACAGTGTCAAAGGCTGCAGTCAGGTCCAGCAGGACCAGAACAGAACAGTCCCCTGCATCACTGTGAGTCAGAAGGTCATTAGAGACCCTAAGAAGAGCTGTTTCAGTAGAATGAGCTCTACAAAAACCTGACTGGAAGCTATCATAGATGCTATGTTCATCAAGAGCAGCTGTGAGTTGTTTAGCCACAACCTTTTCCAAGATCTTGGAGATGAACGGAAGTTTAGAGATGGGTCTGAAGCTGCTATGGAGAGAGGGGTCGAGACTCGGTTTTTGAAGAAGCGGGTGGATTGCAGCGTTCTTAAAGTAAGCAGGGACCTGACCAGAGACCAGAGAAGCATTAATTATAGAGAGCACGCTGGGACCGATGGACTGAAAAGCACTTTTAAACAAAGATGAGGGTAAGATGTGGAGG